TTTCTAACACAAATTGAATAAAAGACAAATGATATTTATTTTATGAAATAGCTTTACCAAATTTAAGTGAAGGTCAGCATGCTTTCCTGTTGTCTCAGAATGAAATGAGAGAACAGGAAAGAGAACAGAAAATTTTCTTTCATAATAGGGTACTGTTTAGAACATGTTCAGATTCCCATCTGAACTCTTTCCTATGGAATGCTGCCTAGGATCATATTATCCTTGTTTAACATTTGATGAGCAACAAGAATAATGACTTGGGTGGCATTTAACAATCTGAACAGTCTTAAAAAATCTCGAAAAAAAATCAAATTTTATTTTACCTACAAAAATGGACCATCACACGTTCGTGGTACATGTTCGTTACTTAAACGAATAACAGTAACCTTAGGTAATTGTATTATAATTGTCTATTCAATGTACGTTAAAATAAAATTGTAAGATATAAATAGTGCTATTAAATGTCTTAATCGAATATGACGCATGCAAAACTATCTTGTAATATAAAGTATTTTTTATTATTATTTAGATAATACACAATTGTATATACGAAACTTTTTCTATATAAATTAAAATATATAAAATATTCTTCTTTTATTTATTAACATACTACTTTGCACTGTCTCTGCAAACAGGATAAGATGGTATAATTTCGAAACGAAATAACTAAAATTTTAATCCAATTTTCAAGGTTTAAGTTTAGTAATCCTCTCTCAGAGGATGCTAAAGGATAAATAAAAAAAGTCAAACTTGAACTTCGAAAATTGGATTCAAATCTTATTTCATGTAGAATACCATGTTCGAAATTACATTACACATTACTCCTTATATCAATTATTATTATAAATATTAATAGATATCAAAGAAACAAATCAAGCGATGTACGAATGTAGTTTTATTCAATTTAATTAAAATTACATACCATTTTTATATACAACTTTCATTAATATTATTGAAGTAATTTGTAACGTAACATTAAATTATAAATTAATATCAAAGATATACATACAATATTCTTCAGAAAAGATTTAAAAAAGAATAAGATGCAATTCAATATACATACAAGAGTAAGAAAAAATATTCAACACAATAACATTATATTAAAAAATTTCTACTATTGTAACAAGCTACTTTATGGTATATTAATGTTGAGATATTTCGTCTAAAATCGCATCCAATAATACCTTTAGTTGTTGACCAAAAAATATTCTAGAATTAGTAGAACGAGGAACGGCACATTGTTGCAATAAATCTTCAATATTCGGATATTGCTGCTCAATATTAGTAGGTACATCATGAAGAAATCCACCAGGAAATGGATTTTCATTTCCTGAATTTAATAAAAGCTGCAATCACATACACTTTTATAATATATTTAATATTATATATATATATTGTATATATAAAAAGATACTTAATATATCTGATTATAGTTACGTATAAATAAAGCAACTACCTGACAAATTGTATAATAATTATGGTCACTTAAATGATGATTACAAATATCCTTGGAAGAAAATGCAAAACAATTAGGACAATCAAAGTATATTGTATTATGTATTTTCTGCCAGTCTTTTGGTTCAACAAATTCTACAAATTAATATCATACAAATGCAGTGTAATATTCATTTGCTTATTTCATAAATATCTTTATAACAAGAAAATGTTTACCTTGAGAAATATTTTTGTCAACAATAATAATATTCTCTAAATCAATAAATTTTGCTACATTTTCATGATCAACAGCAATATTATCAGCCGATATATCCGTTAAATAAAAACCAAACATTTCATTTTTGAAGGTAAACAAATAAGCAGCATTTAAAAGGCTTGAAGCTATTTTTACTCTTTGAATCCAAGATTTGTCATAATAATCAGACAGCGGTAACCCAACATATTCTTCAATAATAATCCGACCGCAAGCTCCGAAATATCTTGGCACAGGCCATCCATTTTCGGCAGATAATATCTAAAAGAAGCGTTTAGAGAGAGATATATATAAAATATATAACTGTATTCAATCTTTCTATCAAAAAATAATCTAACATTATCTAACAAATCCTACAATTAAAATGAAATATATAGTTTCTATATACTTTTATTATAATTTACCTGAAGTATTAATGGCTCTGGATTTATGGAAACCAATGTCCAGAGATTAATTAGATATTGTGTGGGATCAATGTGTTTATTATTAAGATGAACATTGTAAAATAGATCATCTAAATGTCTAATTGTTGGACAAAGTCTTAATCGACTTGTATCATCCTTAGAAAAATCAGAAGTAATTATTTTTCTAATAAGATTATAAAAATCTGCTTTATATTTGTCTAATGGAACATTAGAGCAGGGATATCCCAAATGGAGTTCATTGCATAGTGTAACATCAAGCGCTTTTAATTCAGAAGAGTGTGCCAATTTTTTTAGGACCACTTTACTTTGATTATACGTTCCAAAGAATACATTTTTAACGCCAAACAAATGAGAAATTATCGCATTAACATCATTCCACAGGAGATCTACTTTGTGAATGTTATGACATGCAGAAACGCCATAACATGCTGGACACTTCTGCAGCTCAGTCAGCTGTGTTACAGAAGGATATAAACTTTGTAAAATAATGTTGATTCTTAAAGCAAGAATGCAGATACCAATTAACGGTAATATTTTCCATTTTTTAAATCTGAAGATGTTATGTATATAATATAGAATCATGAATCAATAATCGTGTCTTGCTTTTATCTTTTTAATAAAAGCATCATATTTTGCAGGTTGCTTTTTGTTATATTATATCCAGATAATCCGACTGTGTAGGAGCCTCCAATTGTGACCCAAAATTATATAGCACAGAATGATTCAAACTTGTAATTATTTACTGTTTTTATATTCTTAACGAATCTGTATATAATATTCGTAAGGCTTTTCAAAATATGCATTTTACAGGTTATGTTGTTTTCCGGCTCTTTAAATGCATAGTCTTCCTTCCATGAGTTTAGGAACGCCTTAACATAATTATGCGTAATTGTTAAAGGCGTCAGCTGTGTTTGATCTGGTCACTCACGCTTTTCAAGCGCGTGTAATCATCTCTCTGTCTTTATAATTCATTAGACGTAAAACAAGGATAAAAGCATTGAAAGCGTCCAAACAGAAAGCAATCGAAGAAAGCTCATTTGTTTCAATCTTTATCACATATTCTACTTAAATCGATTAATTTTAATTTTGGTTTAATTTATTTTTTATTTTTCTTTCATTTTAAAGATTAAAAAAAGAGTACATTAAACCGAAATTAAAATTAATCTACATTGAAATAGCGATTTTGATTAAACTAGCATGAATTAACTTAATTGGCGTTCAACTTTTCAAGTAATATTTATATACTATACTGTTTTGTTAGTAAAATAATTAATTTTAGAAAAATAGAATAGAATGTAAGATAAGAATAAATTATACGGTAATTGGAAGATCTGCAGAAATCAATTCTTAAGTTAATTGTTGATTAATGTCCATTTGTACAAAAATGTAGATCATTTTAATTTTTACTCGTTATCTTTTTTCTCTCTAATTCTTAGAACTGGAAAAAGATAAAAAGTGAATTAAACCGAGATTAAAGTTGATTAAAGTTAATCTATTATATTAGCAGAGAAATGGACATAAAATTAATCAGAATTTGATCAACTCTCAGATTTTCTTATTTTTTCTCTTTTCAACGTCCCATAGTTCCATCAGTATTGATTCATGTCGTTTCAAATATAGAAAATATTAAGAATGCATGTATAAAAGCAGACATAAAATTTCGATTAAATTCTGCAGTAATTCATTCAACCAGCAGAATCGTTTAAGAAAAATTTAATTCGTTGTCCTGATTTTTTTTACGTTAAGCCCAAAACTAACAATTTTATTCACAAAGTAGTTTGGATATTATTTGATTCTGCCAGCATCTGTCAGTGACCTACCAGAAAGGTTTCGCTCTGCCTACAAACTACAAATATTGTCAGTGCCGCCACCTAAAATCGTTACTCCATAGTGTTCATTCAAAGGAAATCACGAATCGCGATAACGATATCGCCACCTTTGTCCTTCGTTTAGGATGTGGTAATGTCTAGGATCCAAATCGGGCGATTATAAATGCCTCGATGTATGTTCCGTCCACATGAATTGTGCTTTGTTGTGTGACAAATCTTTCCATCTTTGTATCAAGTTCGACTTGTCTAAGGTGATGATGCGAAATTAATAAGATCATCCTATTTGTTGACGAATGCTGAATGAGCATGAAAATTTCGACACATTGCACTTGGATACGATGCAATATGATATGACGATATTACCCTTGACTGTTTTGTAACTGTGCGTGTAAAGAATTTGCAGAAAGTTGTAGTATTCCATTTTTTCGTGAGCTGTTGTATTTTCGTTGCAACCAAAAAACATTATTGCAAGCTACATATGCTAATGCGTTTAATCCATATGGGTCTCAACGAACTCGTGCATTGGTAAGAAATTGGTCATATCAAATTTGTTTTATTATCTTAAAATTTAATATCAACAATATGACTTCCCGAACTGGGATGTTTAATTTGGATATTAATATATTGATTGGAAAGTAACAACGACAAGGAAATACAGATAGGAATGATAACTAGAATAGTAAGAAGTAAATTTTTTCAGGTATCAAAAAAAGATTGGAACATATGATAAGCAACAATGGGAGAGAACCATAGAACAACATATTCTTGATGGACTTACACACGTTCCAATGAGAACAACAAAACTTAAGACAGAATTGATTGATGTGGATCTCGTTCGTGGTATGCAACAAAGATTAACTTACAACTGTATATACACACACACACATATATATATATACACACAAAATGAATATATGGTAAATTTAGGACCACTTTCATCAAACTCCGATTAACTGGAGCTTGCACGAAAGTGGCCCTTAGTCACTTGTATTATATTAAATCAGTACACATTAAAGGCTGCTTTATATAAAGTATCTAAATGCAATGGCATAATCAACTTTGACAACGAAATAATACATATATATATTCTATTAAATGATGTGATAAGGTAATGTAAACATATTGTTTAAAATATTTATATGCTTTTACATTTAACTTTACCAATTTTATGTATAGCAGCTTTTGTGGTATATACTAATCTAGTGTAATACAAGTGACTAAATTCATTATTAATGGTTGAAAGTTTTTTACCATAAGAGATGAATTACGGATTGTAACTGAATATAAAAAACCACATAAGAGAGAATAAAATGTTGATCTCTGGTTGTAAAAAGCTAATTTGACTATTAATCTCAACTTATATATATATATATATATATATATATACAGGATGTCTGATAATTGTTCTGACAGTTCGTGGACATGTAGATCAGATTAAACTGAGATGGAAAGTCCTCTATCATTTTGTAATTTTCGCAATAAGCCAACAAGATATTAATTGTTAAAAATTACCGAAAATTGGTTTTCAATAATTTTTTAACTCAAATACTATCAACTTTACAGAAAAACTACAAGAGACGAAAATTGTTTATTTTCTTATAAAGCTCTAAGAATTTTTTCAGAATTTTTTAACACGTATTTTCTCATGATTATAAAAATATTATAAGAAAATGCAGTATTAAAAAATTGATTAAAAATTCTGAAAAAATTCTTAATTAAGTTCTATGAGAAGAAAATAAACAATTTTGTTTCTTGCAGTTTTTTTTGCGCGCGCGCGCGCGCGTGTGTGTGTGTGTGTATGTGTGTGTGTATTAAATATATTATAATATTTGCCTTGATAGGCATGTATATTCATTCATGATTTAATAATGTATATAGGATCTTCATTTCCAAAAGCCAAGCCAAAACATGGTTTATTGACAGTAGCTTGCCTAGCATTTCAGCGACTCTTGTTCCTTCCATTGTACAAAAAGTGGTGGATACAGCAAACGAGTTATCGCATCTTTGTGCTTTTCTTGTTACTGTATAGCTTGCAAACGATCAACATATGCTTGTATTACGTTTATACAAACAGGGAAAATGAGGCAGAAGTATGATAAATTGTTCTGATTTTCTAAATTATGTGTTGCATTGCTATCCATCTTGACTGTCACGTCTGTTTACAGATTATATCAATGTCAGAAGTATTAGTACCTGTTGTTATGATGTTTGTTCTGTGCACTGTTCATTCCCATATTGTATCAACACATTCAGGTCCTACTATGACATATAATCAGTCCAGACAACGAATAACAAGACGCTCTCGACACATTAGGTGCAGAAATGGAAAATCGAGGCCTAGACAGAATTTACGTAAGTGTGCATAAAAACAAAAAATATTCACCTTTATAATATTTTAATTTGTGCTAAAGGTGTACATAAGGATTCAAAATCTTCTCAAGATATGGCTTCTGAGAAAGTGAGTACAGGAAACGAAGAAGTATTTACTGCAGTAAGATTTGCTAAAAAAGTGGTAATCCAAAATTCCTCGACCGTTAGCCAATCTCAGGTAAATATCCAAATTTCAAGTTTATATTCTTCAAACTATCGTACGTATTTAAAAATTTCTGATGTAATAGGAATTTGCAAATGCTCAAGTAGTATATGACAAAGAATCATTAAATACAACCGGAGAAAATTCTGATCCTGCAAATGAAAATTCAACTAATCATGAACAGCAAGGTAAAAAAAAGTATTATTTATTTATCGTAAGTTTATATATTTCATATATTTAACATATACATGTTTCACTCTGTAACAGATAATGTACCAGAAGAACATGTAGCAAATATACATCAGGATGATGATGGCTTCGAAAGTCTAAATGGGAATGTTTCCAGTGATAATGACAAAGGGATAGGTCGAGCACTGGTGCAAGAAAATAAATCGCGATTGAGTTTGATACAACAGAGTAAAGATCATATGTCATGGTCAGAAGACAGCACTAGCCAACAAATTTCATCAAAAAACTCAGGTTTGATTTACAAGTATGCGCTTGTAAAATAATTTATAGACATTTAACAATTTTGCAAAGATAATTATAAATCTTCTTCATTATTCAACATGCTTTATTTATTATTAGACGCACTTTATAAACGCATAAATTTTTAAAAGTAATTTTAAATGCATATTTAATAATTCATCTAATTTTACAATTAACACTAAATGAAAGTAATCTTTTTTTAAATTTGTTTTTGTTTGGGTTTGCTTTCCGAACCGCTAACACGCTTTAATCTTTGTTGGAAAGGTATAAAATGGAGTAATAGCTAAATCATCGTTTTCCACTTTCCACGCAGCACCTGACCCATTAAAAAATGATGACAATTTTATGGATAGCAAAAGCAATAATCATGACAATATTAAGGTACTATCACTTATAAGTTTCACTTATTTTTTCTTTACTAAATCTATAGCTTAACAAAATTTCTATTTATATATATTTTTTTTATTTTCTATTGTGCTTATCTCTTTTGTAGGCCAATTCTTTTTGGATATTATTTTTTTTTAATATTCTTAAATATCCTTCAATTTTATCAAAAATAAAAGATATTTTAAAAATTCATATCTAATGCATCTTATATTAATCTATCGACTTTTATATTCTTGTTAATTTAAGGCTAAAGAGATTTCATCAAAAATATTGAGATCAAGAGAAGCACGGCAGCAGTGCGAGAGCGAGGAAGAAGGCGAGTGTGAGGAAGCTACAACGCATCATCTCACAGAGGCAACAACTTCTGCCACGGAATGGATGGGAGTAACAACTAATAGTGACGAGTGCAGTTACAGGTGAGTTTTATTATGAGATATATTATTTCAATAAAGCGTCATTTTTTTATAAATCGAAATTATTATAGTTCAGAACTCGAGGAATCTGACATAGCCAGCGAGACTAATCTTAATTATGGAGAATTTGTGGAGCATCCTTTCTCATGGGAATTTGAATTGCCACCTTCAATATTATTTAATTCTACTTGCACATCGTCTGATCGCGGTTAGTATGGCAAATTTTCCATACGAATAAAGATTTAATTCATGAAGCAACTGTATATTCAACAAATTAAACATGCAGATTTAATAATTCCTACTTCGCATCATTCTAGTTTCGTGTACGATTTGGACGCGGCGTGATATAAAAAAAGCTGAATTATCAGTGCTTGATATTAGTTCAGCAATAATTGCCAGAGTCGAATCCATGCCAGAGGGCATGAATTACTTT